AGAGTAGAGCGCCCAGAGTCCGCCTGTAATGGGAACAAGTATTTGTGACCTCAAAATGTTGTTTTTGGTGGCTTGAATGTCGCTTTGTCTGCGAGCCGTAAGAAACAAAAGTGAAATTTTTCTCGTGTGGGTTCAGAACCACAACTAGTACAACTAGCAACATAAAAAATGAAATCGAAGCCAACGCATAGACTCGACGATATGTAAACGGCCAACGGCACTTGGCCAAATGCATTTTCACTTGGCCTGTTAATTAATTAACAAGCCACAACACACAAAAAAATAAAAATAAATAAATAAAACTCATAAAGAAATGCGCACAAAGCCAAAGTGCAGCTAAAGCAACCCTGTTGCTGTTGCTGTTGTGACTGCTACTCTTTTGGCCTTAAACAATGCAAAAGGTGAAACTCTTGCACCTGTAGCCTGTCAAGCGAGCCGTCGCCCCCCGTTTCCCCCTTATCAGACGACTTCCCTTCGTGCCCGTTGCCTGGCAAATTGTGAGCATTGCAATTATTTGTTATAATTTCTGTTGAAGAAAATGCAAAGCATTGACGGTTAACTCAACAACGAGGTACATACTACAGCTATAGCTACAGACAGCATTCGACATCGGCTTCCTCAGCTGCTGAAGGCGGCGCAAGTTCAAAGACAATCGCAAACAATTTAGCTGGAATCTGGCTAGAATTTAGCGATTGGCCTGCCGGCATTGTTGGCTGTTCTTGTTGCTGTTGTTGCTGTTCTTGTTGTATTGTTGGTATTGCTGGTATTGCTGTTGGTCTATGTTGGCATTAATTAATTGCAGAGGCCGCCGCGCGTCGTGTGTGAGAAACGAGTTCGACGGCAAGTTTAGAAAACTAATGAGCGTTAAAAGTTTTTGTGCTCGAGCATTAGAAATGAAAACGAAACAGCAAATCAAATGAAGAAAGCAACAACAATACTATGACGAATACCCTAAGAAATTATGAAATTAGGAATTTATAGTAAAATTATTGTTTCATTTTTGGGCAACACAAAAAATCTACAAATATAATATATTTTCAGCGATAATTAATCAAGTTTGTGTTTAACCTGCTGGTGATTTAAAAACGCAAGTCTTATGAGGTATATTTCTTTCAAAATATTAATCCATTTGTACATCGATTTAAGTTTTTCGAGATGTGGAAAGTTCCACAACTTCATAGAAGTATAAATCAGGTAACCAGATATACAAATATATAAATGTAGGCATTAAAGTCTCTCTCTTTTTAGTAACTCTCTCTGATTTGTTATATCCCATATTGCTTATGGGGTATCTGAAAAGGAGGCGTTAGCTCTTAGCCGCCTTAATTGCGCAACAATGTTGATCTGAGCGGTCGGAACTGTTTGTTGATCTCTTTGGCAAAATATGTGATCATTTCCGTGGGCAAAACGAAAGCGCACAGCGGACAGTTCACGGAAATGAAGCAGCAATTAAGTGCTATGGCTAACACTCCGGCTTGGCCAAGTGATCAGTTAGCTGCATAGCTAAACAGCTTCACATACCAAATGCTTCATGTGGGCCACTTGAACTTTACGTCATGAAGGGCTAAATAATGAAAAAAAAAAAAAACAATTTCATTGCAGCGTCAAGTGTTTCGGCTGATTCAACAGAAAAGAAACGGAAAAAAAACCAAAACTAAAAACATTAAGAGCGACAGCAGCAAAACTCTTACATATAAAGCCAAAATATTTTGTACACATATTTGTATGAATGTATTTATTTCTGTGGAAATCTGCGCATTCATCTGAAAGCCAAGAAAAAATCCATAGAAAAAAGAGACAAAAAATGAAGAGATGAAAAAAAAGAAAAACAAAAGCCAAGCGACCTTCGTCAAGCTGGGCTGCATTACAGTTTGTTTTGTCAGCGCTGCAAGTGGGCGTGGCCGCAATTAATTTGATTGCAACTATAAATAGCTATGGCTTGCAGTCGTCGCCGCAATCTGCCTACCACGCCCATATGGCAACGCACATACACACAAAAAGAAAAAAGAAAAGAAAAAGGCGACGCTTGGAATGCACCTAATCGATGCAAAATCGCCCCAAAACTTGTTCTCTAAGCCAATGCAAAAGAGCTGCAGATGGCCTGAGGTTGCCTAGCTGCCTGGCTGTTTGACTGCGTGGACTGGACCACCATCAATGGATGGATATGTGGTGTAGTGGCGTGGTGTGGTGGCTATGGGAAGATGGAGTCATGTCTAATAACTGGAACTAAAGCATGCGCCGCAGCCACGCAACGGAATGGGGCACGGGCATAGAGCAATTAGCGTTTGCCCACAGAACGCTACGAACAAAAAATATGATAAAAAAATAAAGAGGAGAAAAAAATGTTACAAATACTCAAGCGTACGTATTATAAGAACACAACCCGCGGCGATCGAACGGTTCAATAACCTGCCAATCGACAATCGACCATCGACTATCGACGTCCCCCACCCAAGCCGCTCCGCTCCTCTCCTCTCATGGTCAGCTGAGCGCTTTGGGGCAAGTTGGTAATCCGCAACGCAAAGTTTGTGGCCAACATGCAAAGACGATGATGATTAATCAACGCCCCCCCCCCCCCCCCCAACACCCACCCGCCCCGCACCAGTCAAAAAAAAAACAAAAAAGAAGAAGAATAACAATAAGAATAAGCAAAAGAAGAAGAATAAGCAGAGAAAGAGGAAGAAAACAGCTGGAATTTGTGGTTATATTCATTGCACAGTGATAAGGTTAGCGCTGTTCCAATTCACAAACAAACATTGTTTGAGTATTGCCTCGCCTCCCCATCCCCATCCCCCCATAAAAAACCGATACGGCATTCACTTCATCACATTTCTCTAGCTCTGCAGCTCTCTGGCTTGTGTGTTGTATTCTGTGTCGATTCTATGCTGTTTTTGCCGTGTTGCTCGCTTGTTGTTTGTTGTTTGCTCATAACCCATTTTCTTTGTGCTCTCTTCCTCGTGCAACGCTTCGAGGCAGCATTTAATTGATCGGATTCACTTTGATTGATCGGATCGTCGCTGTTGATAATGGTACCGTTAATTTGGTAAATTATTTTGCATTTAGAGGCAAAAGCAATCCATTTTCATTGCGGCTTCAATTACAATGATGTTCATCATGATCATTATGATGGCACGGCCCTGGTATACAATAAACATGTAATTCAGTTAAGGTTAATGGGTGACGGGCATCTAGAACTATAGCAAATGGAACTCAACTGGACTGGACTGGACTGGAGCCAACAGCAAGTTGATTGCGAGGTGTGTGTGTGTGTGAAGCGGTAGGCAAGAGAGAAATAAATGCCATAGAAGCTTAAGAATGCGCGTTATAATAGAGTTTCTAAAAATAACGTTTATTTTAGCGAAAAAAAAAGATTCAGAAAGTTTTTTTCTTGCATATGATATCATCTTGTGGTATAACAAAAAAATCTTTGGCAATATTACAATCGCTTAACAAATGGTTTTTTTTTTGGGTCAATTGAGGTGATTTTAAAAATATATACTCGTATACAACGAATAATATAACAAACAAAAATACCGTTCACTCCAAAAGGTATCTAAAGATTCATGAAAATATAGAACATATTTCATATGACGCAAATATTTTCATACCAATTCCATCCCAGCTCATCTGACATAAATTCCAATATATTAAAAGCATATCCATCAAATCATTATAACTGAACAAAATACCAAAACAAATTTTACGATCCCCAAATAAAGAACTCTTCCATTGATAAAGTGCATGCCAACCCGAAGCCAAATACAAAAAAAAAAAAAAAAACAACAACAACAAAACACTCCTACGGTGTTTCATTCATTGTCAGGCGACTGCCAAAGTTAATAATCCTGTGCATGAGACATGCAAGTAAGCCACAATTCCACGCCCCACCTCAACCCCTGATGTTGCACTTGGGCGCCGGATTGGCTCAAAAAAGAAACAAATGTACCGTTTTGTCGCCTGAGTGACACAGTATCGTGATTTCGAAAATGAAAACCGAGAGTCGGGTTAAGCAACACGCAAATGGAGGTCAACCTCATAATTCAATTAGGAACCTGCAGCGGTGTCACTGCAGGCCGAACCTCAAAAATTCCGACCCACTGTGCGTGGGCCAAAACAAAAGCAGCAGAAATACATTCGTACATTCATATATACATACATATGTACATATCAATTTATTTTCCGCTTGCTGTGCACATTTTTTTCTCTCTCATTTGTATTTTTTTTTGCCGGCCATGTAAATCGACATCGACGACGATCAAAGTTAAATTTCTGTTTGTTTAAGCCTTCACTTTTTCTGGCTCAGACAGAAGACCGTAGACCGGACTGGAGCTGAAACTGTGGGCCATGAGTCAGCGTCAGTGCGATTGGAATTCTGCGCGCTTTGAGGATTTATTAACAAGAATAATAAAAACCGAAACAGAAACAGACCCAGACACAGCGAGAAGAGCCGGCAGCGACAAACCGGTTGGCAAACTTTTATTCGTTGGCTATACCCTGTTCTCAGTGGGCTGAAAGGGTGTGCCAAATGGATTGAAGTATGCTTAAGATTTGCAAACTGTCCAACACAGAAATCCAACAATAGAATCCACACTTGTTAACAGAAGTGGTCGCAAGTAAGTCAATGCTATCGAAATTGTTAACTGTTTATCAAGCTAAGATTGGTAGGATATGATCTAATAAAAACGGATAGGTAAACAATATATGTATATGAAGGTAATGAAGAGATTATAATACCTGAATGAGAGAAACAAACCGTGGTTAGCCTAACAATTAATTTTCCAAAGAATAATATTTAATTCATTTTTGTTGGTTTCCTAAGAACGATATCTGACTTTATACTTCTTTGGGAGACCCACAATAATTAGTTAGTATATGACTCCAACTATAGGGTATCACATTGTCAGGCACCATTGACTAGAAAGTTCTTAAGAGTTTACTTTATTGTTTTTGGTTTTTCAATGTGAGTTTTAGGTTTTAGCAGAAGTTTTTGGGTAGCTTACCTGTATGGAACTGGCGACCGATGCGGAACTGAAGCTCGTATTGCTCGCCGCATCCAAAACGGAGAGGGGCGTGAATTGCTGTTGCCTCCGATGCGGCTGCGACAGCGACTGTTGGCCTGTTGCATCCTTTGTGGCGGACTTGAGTGCGGGCAGCAGCAGTTTGGACACAGACAGTTTGTCCGTTTGACCATTGTTGCTGCTTTTGATGTTCCCATTGGCTTTGTCCATTTTGCAGCTATCCAGTGGCAGTGGCATTGTAGCTGTTGCTGTCGCCATTGCCGACGCAGTTGTTGCTGCTGTTGCTGCTGCTGTTGTTGTTGTTGCTGTCGTTGTGCCTGAGCTCTGCTGATGATTTCCGTTTTCTTTATGATTTCGCATTTTCATTTAAGTAATTGCTGCTGGGATTTTGAAGTTTTCGTTGCGTCTCGTCTCGTTTCGTTTTTATTTTGCTGCAGCGATTATTGCTATTATGATTATTATGTTGATGTTGAAATTGTTTTAACACCTTGTTGCCAGCATTTTGGCGACTCTAAGAAAAGATCACGCGATTAACAAATATAAATAAATAATAGCACACAAAATTACGCAAACACAAAATACACATTTCCACTTCTCTTTATTTTCAGTTAACTATTTGTTAAAATTAGTATTTCTCATTTTGTCTGGCGACATTTATTTTGCTGCTGCACTTTATCGTATGCACCTTATCGTTAGCTGTTGCGCATCTCTCTGGAATGCAGCCCCAAGAGAATGCCGCAATAGAGAGAGAGAGAGAGAAAGAGAGAGAGACAGAGGGCCAACAAATCGAATCGATTGCTTTGGCCAAGTTATTTATTGTTGCTGCTGGCCTGGCTGCTGCTTTGGCTGTTGAGTTATTTGGGTTTTTGTGTAATATGCGGCCACGTATTATGTATTGGCTGTGATGCATTTGTGTGAAAAGTGAACCAGGTTTACATAACATTGACCCAAGAGGGCAGTCGCTGACAGACACCGAGAAACCTCTACAACCCACTCCACCAAAGCCCCGTCTTTTCTGTAATATCAAACCTAAGCCAATAAACAAGTTTTACTTTTTTTTAATTTTTTCAAATGCGATTTGTTTGCCGACTGCATTGGTTACGTTTCGTTGCCCACGCACAGCAGCAGTTCCGTCTACCTTTTCACCTACCCCACACCCACCACCCCACCTCTCTTCACTATACTGCAATAGCCCTACCAAACCCCTCCCACCACCAGCAGCCTGTTCGAAATGTCAACTGAGCAGTTGGCGGCTGGCAGCATGTCAAATTGGCACCTCGGTTGCATTTTGTGAATGGTTTCTATGCAAATTGCCGTCCATTAATGTCAGGCTAACTGCCCCGTAAACTTCAAGTGTTTAATGCATAATTATTAAACTGCAGAAGCGAGCGTCCAAGAAACTGCAAGAACTTAGCACACTACATTGCCAACGACAGCAAATGCTACAGTGAACTCTAAACAATGGGTATCATCAAAAATTAAATCGTAATTTCGTTGATTATTCATTTAACAATAAAGCAAAGATAGTTAAAATATTTGAAATGTCAAATATAGTGTTAATTACAGATATTGGGTATTGTGATCTGCAATTGCAACGGTTCTAATTTGCTATCGTTCACTGTACTGCAAAACTGGATTCTAAGGCACCGTTGACAAAACCCCAACGCTAGCCACAAAATGCCAGCCCAAGTCAACAAAGTCAGGCTAGGCCCGGCTGGGCTAGATAGATGGCTAGAAAAAGAAGTCGAAGAAGAAGAAGCCTGTTTGAGGGGGCAAAGTACGCGAAGTTGCAGATAAATCCACGACATGCGACGACTGCCAGGCACAGCCTAGCAGCCTAGCAGCCTAGCAGCCTAGCTAGCCTGGCTGACTGCCTGGAAGTGCAATGACATTGCAATCGCAAGCTGCTGTTGCTGTTGCTGCTGCTGTTGTTGATGTTTCTGTTGCTCCTGTCGCCAGGTTTGTGCCCAGCGGCGTCGCTCGCTGGTTGTGTGAAAGCTGCTGCCCAAAACAGACAGCAAGAGCAAAAAAAAAAAAACCAGCACAGCAATTCGTTAATTATGGCCCCAAGGAGTGCTCTAAACTTTACAGAGCGGAACTTCTACCACGCAGCAGCAGCCGTTGGCTATTCCCAGTCACTAATGGAGCCGATTTTTGGCTACTAGACGACAACGTTGTCTACAACTAGTTATTGTTGTTGTTACTGTCTCTTGTCTAGCTAAACTTTTTTTTCCTTTTATTTGTATGGCTTTTATTGTGCTAAAAGCGAAATTAGACACTTTTGCTGACATCGACATCAAATTCGACAACAGACTTCGAAATGCAAAATGACAGTTTTTGCGACAGTCGCATTCCCAAAAAATGCGGAAAAAACATGGCAATACAGTGGCGCCAGCGAAATGAGCACACTAATACCCAGTTCCCAGCTGCGAATTGAGGCTCCCTCCCTCCACTTCCCTCCCCACTCGTTTGCCACGCCACCCCTTTGCCACCCCACGCATATGGCTGGCAAGAGTCACACCCAAGAGAGAGAACGAGTTTACGAGCAGCGAGCAACTAACTGCTTATGATATCAGTAGTCCAATAAATTCCACACACAAGCGAGGTCAAAACAGGCTACGGCACTAATCAGACGACGGCGAGTGTGTTACAAGATGAGTGAAACGATCACTTTCCAGGTGTGTCTGTTGGTATGTAAGTGTGTGTGTGAGTGTGTGTGTGTTTGTGTGTGTGTCTGTGTATGAAAGATTCTTGATCCTAAACAGGAAATTTTATAATAGATTGATTTAAATATATGTGCTCGCTCTATGGTATTTACTGTGGGAATCAAGAACCAACTGGCTCGAATGAGAGATCATATCTCCATTATTCACAATTAAGATTCTTCATCTGGAAAGCGGAATGGTTAATAGACCAATTAAAATGTGCTATTCATTGGTATATTAAGGGGAAAAAACTATTTAGATGAGCATAATTATCAAAATAGTCAAGTAGCAACAAAGAAAAATATATTAATTTCCATATGCAATATTTGCAGTTTTAGCATCTTAAAGTTTTCTGAGAATTATTTTTTGAACAACCGGAAATAAGTTGTTAACGTTAAATTAAATGAAAAATGAAGATTAACACGATTTGAGTGCACGACAATATGTTTTTTGCATTGATCAAGCTGATGAAACACAAGTTCTTTAACACAAAGAGTAGAGCTAACTTATATAATATATATATATATATATATATATATATATATATGCTCAATTATCAATTGAACAATAAACTATACTGAAATGCCCGACTTGTTGGTATTAGCACGCATCGGTGTCATTTGAAAAACCTTATCAGCTGCAGATTTTCAGCAATGCCGTCGCACCAGGGTTGTAGCAGAAAGAGTTGTCAAAGATACAGATGAATGATAAAGATAACTACTGTGTCGCTGTCCCTGAACTGGGCCTGTCATAAATTCCGCTCAAATTGCTGTAGTGTCAGCCACTAACAAGCGTAACAAAGTGCTTGACAACAGCAACACCAACAACAATACAACTGCAGTAACAATATGAATGAAACTGTTACCTGAACGCTTATGTTGTGATTAGGTTTACCTGTGAGCTCTGGACTCAGTTTGCATTTAGCTGCAAAGGCTGCCTTAAGCGCTGCTAGCTGCTAGCTGCTAGCTGTTTGCTGTTTGCTGTTAGCTCTTTGCTGCTGCTGCGATTCATTATAATTTTTGTCAATTCTCACAGGTAGCGCGCTGAGCGGACAAAGGTGAAGATCGCATGGCGCTGAGACATTCACACAGCGCTAACAGTAACCCCAACAACAACACGCATAAATTTACAATTAAATTTAATTCCTTCACTGGATTTCCGCAAAAAAAAGGCAGCAAAAAAAGGGTTCCAACAACAACATTGTTGTAAGAGTTGCAGAGCAATTGCATTTGCCAGACAGCCAGCTTGTGGCAAGTTCAACGTCTTCTTTAGTGCTCGCCGCGCTTGGCTTGCAGCAAAAATAAAATAGCAAAACAACAAAAAAGACAGAAAGAAAAATATATATATGAGATTCCCAAGCGCGCTTCTTGGTAAGAGCGACAACAACACCCTCCCGCACACAACCACACACATACACATATAAATATGTATATTGCCTTTTTGCCTGGCATCATTCATCCTCAATGCCACAAGCAGCGTCAGCCTCAAAAACCTCATCTCATTTTGGTCTCGACGGTTTCTGCAGATTTCTGATTTCTGCTTTCTGCAGTGCGCCCTGTCAACAGCCCAGCCGTAGTTTTAACCTCAGCTTTTGCTTTAATTTTAGCTACCTAGATGCTGGACTGGATCGAATGTATAGATTTCAGATACTTTTTTGTTTTTTAATTTTTTTTTGGGGTACACCCGCGTTTGCGCATTGTTCGCGTTACTTCCGCTTTATTGAGCGGGGCACAGCGGGCAGGATGTGAAGGTCGTTGCCGGCACAAGGTCGTTGCGGCGCAGCGCTTTGCTTATCACCTGAGCAGAGCGCGCACCATTTTCAGTTGGCAAAAACGTTAAATATTTAGTAAGTGTGTATGTGCCGCAAATATTTGCACAGCACATTCCAAGCACTTTGGCAGTGCAAATACAAATTGTAAAACGTGCAACGTAATGCGAGCAAAAAAGAAAAACAATAAATATCCAGATGGATAGGGAGAGAAAGCGTGAGGGGCAAGCGATTGAGCGTGAGTCAAATATTAAATAATTAGAATGTAAGATAGTCAAGTTATAGTTGTTATTACCAAGTACCGAAATATATAGATACATATAATTAAAAAGAAACATGCCACAAGTGTACTCAAAATTGTAATTGCTATGCCTCCAAAAACCAAACATAATAGCACAAAAATTCTTTTCAATTTCTTTAAATAGTGCAAAGTATTTGCTCCAAATTTTATCAAGCACTCTATCAAATTAGTGAAAAGCAGATTATGGGTGACTAAAGCTGTGTATCTTATCAAACTAAACTGAAACTGCAGCTAAACTTTCATAATATTATTTATTTCCTTTAGTTTATACACATTTTTAATGCGTTACCCTCAACACTTAATAGGGGAATGTACAGAAAGTTTCTCTATGTGCATAGAAAACTTAAAAAGAATCTATTTATTGGATTACAAATAAGTTTTTTAACAAATTTTGTAGAGCCTTTAAGAACTTTCAATATTAAAATTAGTTCACTTATAAACCCATAAGATAAAAGAGTTACTATAACAAAATTATAAAACGAAAATGTTTAGGTTCTTTA